GGCCTTGGCTATGAGGATTAGACTATGGCCAATGTTCGACCCTCACCGTACGGGCTCCATAGGTCGATCGCTCGGGGTCGATGCCTTGCGGGTCGACCACTCCTTGGTATGGCTATGCGGGTCGACCGTTGGGTGTTGGGGGCGAGTGTGTTAGGGTCGAGGGTGTTAGGGGCGAGGGTGTTGGCGGCGAGGGTGTTAAGGCGAGGGTGTTAGGGTCGAGGGTGTTAGGGGCGAGGGTGTTGGCGGAGGGTGTTAGGGGCGAGGGTGTTAGGGGCGAGGGTGTTGGGCGAGGGTGTTAGGGGTGAGGGTGTTAGGGTCGAGGGTATTAAGGGTGAGAGTGTTAAGGCGAGGGTGTTAGGGTCGAGGGTGTTAGGGGCGAGGGTGTTCGGCGAGGGTCGAGCCCCTTTCGGTCTCACCCTCTTGGTCGAGGCCTTCCGGTCGAGAGTCGGCCGAGACGCGTTAGGTTGAGTCGCGTTAGGCCGAATCGGCACTAATATCCCTATCACTTTGTATGATTTGTGTCTTAATATGATGAAAAAATTTATATATGAAATGTTGTGATTGGGATTCCTTTAATCCTTACCGTCAGTCTTTTCAAATTTTAACTCAAATTATTCAATAAATCAAATTCAATAAAAAAAAGCTTACTTCCAATCCAATGACAAAATAGGGCAACAAAATTTTGCAATTGTAGAGAATGTCATTAATTAATTAACTTTGTATGCAATTGTTAGAAACTGCAAGAAAAAAAAAAGGAAAAAAGGAAAAGAAAAAACACAAATTAGGTACAAAAAATGCCTATTGCGTACTCATTTACGTGATTGCGTATAATATTGTGATTTAGTTATTTAGTTGACATATATTAAAAATAATAAATATACATAAGTATCACAATTTAAATAATAAAAAAATTATGCATTGTAAAAAAAAATATTATGTTTGATAAAGTTATAGAACGTTATATTTTATACACATTATCTAATATATTTTAAATCATCAAATATTTTCAACTTGCAAATACAATAAACAAAACATTAATAAAGTAGCTTATTGTTCTTACTATTTTTATACATTGTCTTATATTTAAAATTTATTTTCATATAATCACACGACAAACATAAATTCAAAATAAAATATCTATAGTTGGATATAATATTTATATTAGACATGTATAATTTTATTAATATAATCAAAATATTAGCATTTTTGACAAATGAAGTGTAAGACATGTATATCATATCATCATTTTGCTAATTATCTTACTGTATACCATACACTAGTGTGTGATTGAAAAGCTAGGAAATTGAATTAATTTAGTGCATATTGGTAAAAACAAAAGTTAACATATAGTTTATTTGTTTAACTTTTAAGATTCATATATTCAAATAAACACTTTTCAGAGTTTTTTTTTTAATGTCATCGAAATTTTTATTTCAATTATTATCAAATGCTTTTATTAGCTAACAACAGCTTTTGTTATATTAGCTAGATTTTTTCAGCAATCTATTATCAGCTACAAGTTAAAAATTTGATTGTATATTATGAACGAAACTAGCTTTTTAACTAATTTTACCAATTCTATTTTGAAATTTCATTTCCTTGGGCTTTCCAAAGAAGTTGTGTCTTAAAGTGGCAATACTAAGGTAAAACTAATCCCTCATATATATAATTTTCGAATGCGCTGAGCATACGTGATTGTTTCTGGTGCTTCGAAATCTTATTTGGCGAAGAATCATGCTTCGTATTTTAGTTTGGACAATTAATATTGATATTATAAATTAATAATTTTAGGTTCGGACATTTCATAATTTAGGTTCAGACATTCCATGAATATTATTAAGCTAACTTAAGTAATTTCATAACATTTATAATAATATAACCCTTTTAATTCTTTGTAATCTTACATAGTGCGACACTAAGTGACTAATATATCCCTGACTTTTTAGATATATTTTAAAAGTTAATAACTTTTGTATTTCTTATCGGTTTTGCATAAATAATACATCAAATTAATCATCGTTTGATGAACTTCGATTTGACATCCATATCGTATATATAAAATAAATAAATTATATTTATCTTTAAAATAATAATAACATTATTTTATTAAATTAATTAGAAAAAAATATACTTATGTTTAATGTAGTTATATGATATAAGTTAGAAAAATTATTATAATATAACACAAGTAAGTCACACGGGAAACAAGTATTATAGTAAAATATACAATAATATATTTTTTTATAAAAAATATTTAACTTTTCAACCACTTTTTCTCATTAATTTTAAATTTTAAGAAAAAAAATTTAGCAAGCACCCGTGTATAAGGTGTTGTACTAGTAATTATTTATAGCAAAATGTTACGACCCTGTTACGGATCGAGATTTTTTAACTATTAGATTATCATGTAACCGTCGAAATAGTTGATCTAACAATTACAAACCTCAACGAAATAGTCTTAACTAATCGTAGCATCTCCCATTAATTATAGTATTAATTTTGCTTGTTAGCCGACTTTGATCAAAGTAAACATTGGCATAGCATAAAAAAAAAACACAGTAGGAAAACCAGTAGAAGGTCCGTGGGTTTATAACAGTGCGAGCGAGGTGCCTTTTTTATTTTATTTTTTGCTCAAACCCTCAGAAAATCAAGAAAAACAAAGCGAAAATGTAAACAGGAAACAAGCAAAAATGGGTTCTTGCTTAAACCAATCTCCGTTTCGCTATTCACAGCGTTCGTCCCGTTCTCCATTTCCATTCAGAAATGCGCACACTCGGAGAAGTCACAGAACAGCTATGGCTTATGCACGACAAGAAAACCTAAAGGACAAATTTTTCTGCTCAAGGAGATTGATTTTGTTCATGGGTTTTGCAGTGATGCCGATAATTAGACGAAGGGCTGGTGCAATTCAAGCCCTCGACGCAGGTAAAGCTATTTTTTCGAGATTATTTTCATGGGTTTTGGTCTGTTTTGTTTTATTTTTGTTGTGAGTTTATTGGCATTCATAAGTAGAGATGAATATAAAAGGGTGTTCTCTGGTCCCTCGTCTTGTATTGTTTCATATAGCTTGGCTACATAGACTGTTTAGACCTTAGCATTTTAGTATTTTAGTGACAATACATATATATTGCTGTTCTTATCTTAGCCATTGTTTCTGAACAAGAACTCAAGTGTGTATGTATGTTGAGTATCAGAACAATTTTTTCGAGTCGGTTTGATGTATAGGATTATGCTACAAGTTTTTGAGGTAACTTGGTGGGATATTGTAGTTCATATTTGGAAAAAGGCCTTATGTGATGAGTTGAAGCAAACACAGTTGTTTTGCTCGATTAAGCCAGATTATTTAGCCTATGGACGACATAATTTGTATGAAGTAACAATTCGGAGCTTTTTTTTCGTTTGATGTCACATGTTGCTATCACCGTAGATTCCATGAATTGATTTATTTATAATTGATAAAATAAATTGTAGACCCTCAAAGAGGTTACTGAAATTTTTTTATTCAAGGTTAATGGGTATGGTTTGATCTACGGCATAAATTGCTCGTACTGAAAATTTTCTATTTCGTTATACTTCTTTAGGTATTCTGGGGCACTGATTTTTTTACTTCGGTTAATGCTTCTGTAGTTTTTTCACTCTTCTTTTGGTTTGCCATGGAAATGGTACCAATGATTGAAAATATATTACAGACTATTATTTTAAAATCTGATGCTTTTTTTCGGAAGCTGACTGATTAGTTTTCTCTGTTTACTTATTTCTATTCCAGATAATATTGAACTGAAGGAACAAGACTGGAAAGAGAAAGAAAAGGTAATGAAGATTAGGAATTACTATAAAAACTAAATCTGGTGTTTAATCCAAATTAGAGAAGAACTTTTCAATTTTCTTTCAAAATTAGAAACCCGTGATGATATGATTACTCCTCTGTTATAGGTGCAGTTGTTGTATAGGACAAACAAATATTATGCGGCTATTTGTTACTAGACAAAACCTTATGTTGGGGGCCGTCTGTGTTTGTGATACCCATTGAATCTTGTTTCTTGTGCACCATTTGAAAAAAAAAAAAAAATTATTATCCAAATTGAATTTTTTGTTATTTATTTATCCCAGGAATCGGTTCAAGAAAGTTCGTCTCGAAACTCATTCTTTCTGCTTCTTAATGCAATCGGGTTTGCCGTGCTTGCCGCTCTGTATGCATCAACAAAGAAGGAAAAGGATGCTGCAGATGCAACCATAGAATCTGTAAGCCATCCAATGGAGTTTTTAATTTTTACGATTGTGTTGAGATCATGTCTGTGTAAGATGGATTTGTTTTCTGAGCTCTTAAGTCTTTATTATATGCATGGGAGGCTAGCTTTGCTTTTAACCACTGATCTTCCATTGCAAATATAATTCATATTATGAGAAAAAGCAATGTGTGTCAAATAAATCATTGTTATTTCTGTACATAATTGCTATCCATTGCAAATTGTAATGTTTAAGAAAATTTGAGGATGTGACTGTAAAATGTAGTAGAAACTAGGAGCCCCATATGCAAATTTTAGATAAGCTGAGTTTGAAAAATTATAAAAATATTTAATGGCTTAGAAGCTTCCATGGGTTCTCTTCCATGTAAGAATATATACATAATATATGTATATATTTTGGATTCTTGGCTAATTATATTTTGTCTTATTGTAATACAGATGAAAATCAAACTGAATGAGAAAGAGGCAGCCATAGCTTGTCTGGAGGAAAAATTCGAAACGGAGCTGTTAAACGAGAGAGAAACTAGTAAAAAATTGCTCGCAAAAGAAAACGCAGAGCATCTGGCTTTATCAAGTCAGTTGAAACGCGCAAATGACACGATCAAATGCATCAGCAGCGAGCTGCAAGAACAGAAAGTATTAGTCAAAGAACATACTTTCCAAGCTGGCGATCTCGAATCCAGGCTGCATGGGGCCCAGAATGAGAAAACCGAAATTCAAGAGCAGCTGAAGGAGAAGGTAAATTCTTTATCTGATCTGCAAGAAAGAGTTGACATGCTTTCTTTGGAGATAAAAGAAAAGGAGGATAGCTTTCTCATTCTTAAATCGAAATTCGATGAAAAAGAAAGAGATCTCGATACACTGAGCTTCCTTTACAAGCAAGCGAGGGATCAGGTGACTAATTTAAATTCAGAGGTTGAAAAATTGAAAGATTTACTTTTGGAAGATGAGAAGGAGCTGGAGTTGAAGAACGGGCTGGTCGAGAAGCTAAAATCGGAATTGTCCCTTTTGATTGATGAGAAAAATGAATCTAGCAAGAAACTAGATTCTGTTGTAGACGAATACAGCCAATTTAGGTTGTCGGCTGAAAAAAAATGGGCCTCTGAGGCTGAGATTCGGGGGAAGAAAGAGGAACAAATTTGCCGGCTCGAAGAACAAATTAACTTTTCATTGGGCGAGATTGAAAGAAAAGATGGGTTAATTTCTCATTTGATTAAGGAGAAAGATAATTTGCAAGAAATGCTGGAATTAGAGTCGAAAAATGCAAAAAACATGGGATGTGAGCTTGAAATCACACAAGCTGATTTGGAGAAATCAAGTAAAGAAGCTTCTGATCTGTCTGAAGAATTGAAACAGTCGAGAGATTTGTGCTCGAACCTCGAGAAGAAGCTTTTCGAGGCTCAAACTGAGTTTAACGAAGCTAAGGACATATTACAGATGAATATTTTGGAAATGAAGCAAGAAACTGAAAACTTGTCGAGACAGTTAAGATCCGCCAAGGAGCTTTTAGATAAATCAAATGCCGAGATTGAAATCACTTCCCAAGAACTGATCGATGCAGTGCAAAAGTGTGAAATCTTGGAGAAAGAACTTAATGAAGAAAAAAACGCTACAACTTCTTTAAACGAAGAACTGAATCTTCTCGAGGCCCAAGTTTCGAAAGACAAAGAATTTAAGAAAAATCTCGAGTCGGATTTAGACGAAGCTGATAAAGCACTAGAGGAGATGAACCGAAATGCTTTAATTCTTTCGAGAGAGTTAGAGATGGCGAATTCTCGGATTTCAGAGTTGGGGGATGAAAAGGGCGCGGTCTTTACTGATCTCGACAGGGAAAAACGGGCTTTCCGAGAAGCCCAGTTGAATTTGGAGGATGCGCATAGTTTGGTGTTGAGGCTCGGGAAAGAAAGGGAGGGTTTGGAGAAGAGAGGGAGAAAATTGGAGGAAGAACTAGCGTCGGCTAAAGGTGAAATCTTGCGTTTAAGGGGTGAGATTAATTCTTCGAAAAAAACAAATAATGTTCAGAGTCGAGAGAAAAACGATGGGGTCGATGAAAATGGCGTTCGGAAAAAGAGGGTTAGAAGGAGGAGGAAGGTTTAAAAAGCCTAAGCAAGAAGATGATTCATAGGTGTAAGGATGCATGGAAATGTTCTATTTATCATTTATTCACTCACTCGCATTTTATGTAAGCTGTGAAACTCCATTAGTTTTTCTTTTTTTAAAAAAAATAAAATAAACTAAAAAAATAAAAAAAATTAAAATTGGCTTTTGTTGGAATTTCTATGTTATTGGCTATTATTAGGTTAATGAAATTGCGTTTGTGTTTTGTACATTTGGGGAAATGAGAGTTTTCAGAGTAGCCTCTGTTTTTGGCTTCCTGCTATTTACTGTCAGTAAATACCATATACCATGCGAATAATAGATATAATATTATATAAAAAAATAATAAATAATAAATAACATAATTGTGAAGTTTCAACTTCTCAATAAGACCATCTTTTATTGTTGTTGTTATTATTATTATTATTATTATTATATTTAAATTTTATATTTATTGATTGGTATTTTATCAAGTAACATATTTAAAACATTAAAATGTCAAAGTATTACAGCATACTGAAAAAAAAAAAAAGAAAAATGATCAATGATCCATAACATTACCCAGTCAATTTTATACTTTTACATGATACAAACTGAATATTGCAGTAATTACCCATTACAATATAACTCTTGGAGAGAAAAGCTGAAAAATATCCAATTCCATCTAATGAAATGCCTCAAAAAAAAAAAAAAA